TTTGGTTCATTATAAACAATTTACATACAGTATACTTTTCTCCATTACCTTTAATTTTTGAGATATGATCGAGTTTAGTAACGAAAATCACTAATTTTGATATTATTGGGATTTCCACTTTCTAACTAGAAATTAGTTACACCTGAGTTACAACTGATTATGAATTATGTCTTTTTGGTTTATTATAAATAATTTATATACAATATACTTTTTTCCATCACTTTTAATTTTTGCGTTATGATCATAATTAGTAACGAAAATCACTAATTTTGATAGTTTTGGGATTTTCTCTTTCTAACTAGAAATTAGTTACACCTGAGTTACAACTTATTATGAATTATGTCTTTTTGGTTCATTATAAACAATTTATATACAATGTACTTTTCTCCATCACTATTAATTTTACAGATATGATCGACATTAGTAACGAATATCACCAATTTTGATGTTATTGGGATTTAGACTTTCTAACTAAAAATTAGTTACACCTGAGTTAGAACTGATTATGAATTATGTGTTTTTGGTTCATTATAAACAATTTATATACAATATACTGTGAGCGTCAAAAGAAAGTAAACACTAGTTGTTTACTTCTAAAAACCCTTTTTACTACGATTCTGTTAACTTACAATAAAAATTTATATAACAGAATTTACGACTTTATTTGTGAGCTATCCCTTCGTAGAAAATAGTTAAGCAAAAACCCCCACAAATATGGTAAATCCCCTTTAGAGTAAAAATACCCCGATATTTACGCGTCAAAAGAAAGTAAACAGCCGATCCGGTTGTTGTAATTTCATTTTATATTTAGGGGAAGCACCATACTTTTCATATAAGTACTTATATACCCCTGTCAGAACATTTTAGAAGAAACAGCAAGTGGTTGAACGTCGAAGTTAATTATAAATACCAAAAATCATCATGGGAAAACAAACAAGTATTGAAACGCGTAAAATTATATTAAACTTAAATAAAAAAGGTAAATCCTTACGTGAAATAGGAAAAATAGTGGGAAGAAATCACTGCACAATAAAGAAAATTTTGGATAAATACGCACGACACCATACTGTAGCGGATTTACAACGCGTTGGACGACGAAGGCGCCTTACAGAAGCACAGGCGAGAGCAGTGGTCAGAGAAGTGAAGAATAATTCATGTACAAGTGCGGTTAAAATAGCAAACGACATATCGCAGATAACAAGCACATCCGTAACTTCAAGTACCATACGAAGAACACTCCATAGAAGTGGCCTTCATGGAAGAACACCCCGTAAAAAGCCTTATGTATCTAAAATAAATAAACAGAAACGTTTTGATTTCGCAAAAAAGTATCAAAACGAAGCTCCAGATTTTTGGAAAAATATATTGTTCAGTGACGAGAGTAAATTTGAAATTTTCGGAAAGAGAAAACCACAGATATGGAGGTCAAAAAATGAGGCCTTCAAAGAGAAATTTGTTACCAATACTCTGGAGCTGTATGGCGGCGTGAGGGGTCGGTAATCTAGTTTTTATAGAATCAACAATGAACAAAATGGACTATTTAACCATTTTAAAGAACAATGTTACCCCGAGTGTTAATAAATTGGGCTTATCAGAGAACTGGTTATTTCAACAGGATAACGACCCAAAACACACTTCCAAAATTGTGAAGGAATGGCTGCTATACTGAGTCCCTAAAACCCTAGATCATCCACCGCAGTCTCCAGACATTAAACCTATAGAGCATCTATGGGATCACCTTGACAGGAAGATCAGAGAAAGGACCATTTCAAATAAAGACGACCTTAAAAAAGCTTTAACTGAAGAATGGATGAAAATTCCTTCAGATGTTACAAAAAAACTTGGTGGAATCCATGCCAAGGAGATTAAGGGAGGTGCTGAAGGCCAACGGAGCTCAAACCAAGTATTAAAAGTTGATGTTATATTTATTTTTGTACTTAATATCTATTATATACGTATTCTGTTTACTTTCTTTTGACGCGTAAATTCGGTAGACCTTTACAATTAACTGGATTATTACGGGTAATGATTTGTTTTTTTTTTCATGTTTTTATTGATTTAAATATAGTATATATGAGTTGTGAAAACTGCAATAAAACTTTTTGATTTTCGTTATTAACTGCATTTTTATTAACCTTTTAATAGAAAAACAGCAGCTGTTTACTTTTTTTTTACGCTCACAGTACTTGTCTCCATCACTTTTACTTTTTACGTTATGATCAAAATTAGTAACGAAAAATCACTAATTTTGATATTAGTTACACCTGAGTTACAACTGATTATGAATTATGTCTTTTTGGTTCATTATAAACATGTTATATTATACAATATACTGTTATCCATCACCTTTAATTTTTGAGAAATGATCTAGTTTAGTAACGAAAATCATAAATTTTCATATTTTTGAGATTTCCACTTTCTAACTAAAAATTGGTTACACCTGAGTTACAACTGATTGTGAATTATGTCTTCTTGGTTCATTATAAACAATTTACATACAATATACTTTTCTCTACCACTTTTAATTTTTGAGATATGATCGAGTTTAGTAATGATAATCATCAATTTTGATATTTTAGGAATTTCTTCGTTCTAACTAGAAATTAGTTACACCTAAATTACAACTGATTATGAATTATGTCTTTTTGGTTCATTATAAACAATTTATATACAATATACATTTCCACATCACTTTTAATATTTGAGATATGATCGAGTTTAGTAACGAAAATCATAAATTTTAATATTTTTGGGATTTCCACTTTCTAACTAAAAATTAGTTACATCTGAGTTACAACTGATTATGAATTATGTCTTTTTAGTTCATTATACACAATTTATATAGAATATACTTTCTCCATCACTTTTAATTTTTGAGATATGATCGAGTTTAGTAACGATAATCATCAATTTTGATATTTTTGGGATTTCTACTTTCTAACTAAAAGTTAATTACATCTGAGTTACAACTGATTATGAATTATGTCTTTTTGGTTCATTATAAACAATTTATATACAATATACTTTTCTCCATCACTTTTAATTTTTGAGATATGATCGAGTTTAGTAACGATAATCATCAATTTTGATATTTTAGGAATTTCTTCGTTCCAACTAGAAATTAGTTACACCTGATTTACAACTGATTATGAATTATGTCTTTTTGGTTCATTATAAACAATTTATATACAATATACTTTTCTCCATCACTTTTAATATTTGAGATATGATCGAGTTTAGTAACGAAAATCATAACTTTAATATATATTTGGGATTTCCACTTTCTAACTAAAAATTAGTTACACCTGAGTTACAACTAATTATGAATTATATCTTTTTGGTTCATTATAAACAATTTGTATACAATATACTTTGCTCCATGATTTTTAATTTTTGAGATATGATCGACATTATTAACGAAAATCACTAATTTTGATATCATTAGGATTTCCACTTTTTAACTAGACATTAGTTACACTTGAGTTATAACAGATTATGAATTATGTCTTTTTGCTTCATTATAAGCAATTTGTATACAATATACTTTTTTTCATAACTTTTAATTTTTGCGTTGTGATCAAAATTAGCAACGAAAATCACTAATTTTGATATTATTGGGATTTAGACTTTTTAACTAGAAATTAGTTACACCTGAGTTACAACCGATTGTGAATTATGTCTTTTTAGTTCATTATAAACAATCTATATACAATGTACTTCTCTCCATCATTTTTAATTTTTGATCATATGATCGTCATTATTAATGAAAATCACTAATTTTGATATTATTGGGATTTCCAGTTTTTAAGTAGAAATCAGTTACACCTGAGTTACAACTGATTATGAATTATGTCTTTTTAGTTCATTATAAACAATTTATGTACAATATACTTTTCTCCATCACTTTTAATATTTGAGATATGATCGAGTTTAGTAACGCAAATTATAAATTTTGATATTTTCGGGATTTCCACTTTCTAACTAAAAATTGGTTACACCTGAGTTACAACTGATTATGAATTATGTCTTTTTAGTTCTTTATAAAGAATTTGTATACAACACATTTTTCTCTACAACTTTTAATTTTCGAGATATCATCGAGCTTACAATTAGTAATGGTACACATCAATTTTGATACTTTAGGAATTTCTACGTTCCAACTAGAAATTAGTTACACCTGAGTTACAACCGATTATGAATTATGTCTTTTTGGCTTATTACAAACAATTTATATACAGCATACTTTTCTCCAACACTTTTATTTTTTGAGATATGATCGACATTAGTATCGAAAATCACTAATTTTGATATTATTGGGATTTCCATTTTTTAACTAGAAATTAGTTACACCTGAGTTACAACTGATAATGAATTATATCTTTTTGGTTCATTACAAACAATTTATTATATACAATATACTTTTCTCTGCCACTTTTAATTTTTGAGTTATGATCGAGCATAGTAACCAAACATCAATTTTGATATTTTGGAGATTTCCACTTTCCAACTAAAATACTGCACTTTTTTTTTTGGTTTTTTCCTAAACAATTTATGTGCAAAATATTTCCCTCCATCACCTTTAGTTTTTGACTTACAACCAAAAATTACATAACTGGAACTGGTAAAAATACCAGTAACGGCAATATAAAAATATTGCCTTAAAATTTCTACGCTTTCTTTAAATCAACATTTTAACTCACCTTCTTCTTTACCTCGCTTAGCTGTAACAAAAAAAATTTAAACTAACCACCACAATTTAATTATATCAAAAATACTTACGTTGTGGATCTGAACTAACAATTTCATCTAAAACAAATTATAAAATTAAATTAAAATCTTCGTTTAAAATAATTTCATTTTTTTACTTGGATCAATACTCCTCACTGAATAAGAATTTTCAAAATTAGGTGCGATTAAAGGTGTTGCACCTACAGGTCCAGGTGAAAAGTATCGTCCGCCTGCGAATGCATCTTGGAAGCAACCTGGTGGACATTCTTGTTTTACTTCTTCGTTTGACGTTCCATAACAACCTTCACAATTCGGTTGCGGAATACCGCAAGTTACATAAGGCCAAGCTTGTTGATACGCGCATCTTGTTTGTGGCTGTGGTATATATATTAATTGATTATGGCAACTTTGTTGACCAGTAGTTGCTTGTTCGCAAACTTGATGTTGCTGGGCGTGCATTATTGATGATGCACAAAAGCTTCCACATTGTTTTCTCCTATCAAAAAGTATTTAGAATAAACATTAATGTAATTTATAGAAAATATTTTTTACCTTAAATGATAACATCTTGTATATGGATATTGAGCTTGTGGAGTACATTGTCTTGGTCCAACAACTTGACAACATGATTGTTGTTGCGGATGAGGCTGTGGATGCGGTGGTTGTGGTTGTGGCTGTTGTGGATGCGGTGGTTGTGGTAGCACAATTTGTCCTGAAGTTTGTCCTCCTCCATAGTAACCGTCATACTCATTAGCAGCATCGATCGTAAAGTTATTATAATTAGTGCTATTTACGTTAACAGGAATATCAATTTGATTGGTGTTATTGATTTTGTTATGTAAATTAATGACCGTTGTTATATTGACCGCATTGGATTGTTGTGATTGGCTGCTATCACTACTACCAGGTTTAGTATGAGGAATTTTTTTATTACAAACATTTCTACAGCTTTTTCTGCACGACTGCGAAGCGCATTGCGAATGACAAGTCTTATAGCAGCAATAAGTACTCGAACACTGTTGATTGAAATTTGCGCAACAAGTATTGCAAGTTGATGAGCAAGTATTCGTCGAACAATAATCGCAATCGCAATCGCTACAAGAATTTGAAGATCCAGTACAATGTCGTTTGTATCTTTTTAAACAGCTGATATCATTTTCTCCTTTCACACATTCTTCGAGCTCTTTACATTTGTGACTTTTTCCATTCGAATAAGATATGGACACACAAATTAGAGATGAAATTAATAATATTTTAAACCACATCTGAAAGATTAAAATAAAAATTAATGTAAATAACACTTGAACTTTAATGGTATTTATATCACAACTTAATTATCTTTATTGCCATCAACGACTTCTCTATTTGCTTTTCAATTATAAATAGTGGCGTATTTGTTGCTTTTAAAAGGTTCGTTCTAGAAATTGTATACGACAAGGAAATTTGTTACGATTTTTCAAATATTTACAATTGAAACTGTTTCACATGGCATCCGGACCAAAAAAATCTTGATTAGATAATGAATTTTCCAATATTTGCGTGACCCATTTTCTAAAGACAGCTGGCGTCATTCAGAGCCAAAAAGTTTTTTTAGGGTAAAAAATTTTAAATCAACAAGACATACTTTTATTATTTACACAAGAAAAATTCTGACAAAAAAATAAAAATTCGTGGAATGATTATTTATTGAAATTAAGAATTGATTTCTACATCAAATTAGCACTAAATGTTTGCTTCTTAAAACTTAAAATTAATGAAGGTTATGAAACGAATTTTATATAAAATTAAAACTGAATGTTTGCTCTTTAAAATGGTGTATAATTAACGTGACCATTTTTATTTCGACTCAAAACGGGACAACTTTAGGTACTTGTGTTTTCGGTTACATTCTTATTGATTTGACACTATATTTTAAACATTGACTTAGGTATTTACCAAAATAATATTCACATAGACAATTTTAATAATCAGGTGGATTTTAAAATTATTAAAACTTGTTTTTAAGTTAGATATAAAAAAACACAAAATATAATATTTCAAAAGAGCATATCATTTAATAGGAATAAATATAGCACCTAACACAATAAGTATGTGTTAAAGTATAATAAGTATAACAAACATAATAAGTATAATAAATAATTAGTTATTTTCGGACGAGCAAATTTTCTTTAAAATATCTGGTTTACTTTTTAAATAAGTATGTAGTTGCAGACATGTTTTATTAATATTGTTTTTAGTAACTAAAATTGCTTTAAGTGTTACTATTCCTAATTGTGTTTTTTCGCTGGTCCATATTTTATTCATCAACGAAAAAACTCTTTCTACAGGTGGGTTACTCCCCGGCAAACATAAAATATATTCTATTATAATTGTGAAATTGGAATAACATAGTTGGTGTGCATGAAAATGTGCTAGTATTTCCACCCAACGATTTTCACTGGACACATTCTTATCATTCCACTCTGTGACTTTTTGGAGTGTCACATATTTCAAAATCAGCGAAAACTCATTAAGCACTGCTGTGTCTTGTACTGGCTTTAAAAATCCCCTTTGAATTAATAAATCCATCACTTGTTGTACTTTATCCCACTCAGGTATTTTTTGTAGATTCGCCCATACAAAAACCTTTAATTCTATATTGAATTGACACCATTGATCTAAATATTCATTACAGGTTTTATAAAATTCAATTACTACAATCTTGACGTTATTTTGATCAACAGCACCAGACTCATGAAGCTTTGCTAATAAATTTCGTGCAACGTGTGGAATAAAAACTGAATTTTTTCTTAAAGACAAGTTATCTTTTAAATGGTTTATTTCATTCACGGCGTCCATTGCTGATATATTTTGTCCTTCGATATTTAACACGGCTTATATAATATAACCAGAATTCGGAGCTTGGATTGACAAATAATAGCTTCAATATATTCTGGCATTTTTCAATACTAAGAAAATAGTTTTTTAGTGGCTCAAACATTTTAAGTACTCTTTCAAGTGCAGGCATTAATGCGAGCCATCTAGTTTTACTGTAGCCCAACATTTTTTTATACTCTGTACCTGCCAAGTCACAAAATTCTTTTAGAGTTTCAATGCGTACACTATAAATATAAAAAAGTGAGTAAATTTTGACAATAATGCATTCAAAATCAATAGGCAAAGCCATCGGCGGCAGTTTTAATTGCATTGTAGACAATATGAGCTCCACAGCCAATCTCTATTAGTTCTCGTTCCAGTAATGTGCTCAGTTTTGTATAAACATTATTTATACCTTTTCTATTTTTCCCTCCAAAATTACAGTTTGTATTATCTTCGCAAAAGGCCGCAATTTTAGGTTTTAAGTCATTTAATGTTAAAATTTGATTTAAATAATCAATAATGATGTCTGATGTTTCACCTGGTTAATCTTTAAATTCTAAAAGCTTCACTTGTACACCTTCTTGTGGTCTAAAATAGCGAACTAAAACTGGAAATAATTTTGTGGAACCATGATTTGAAGCATTAATTAGAAGGGCTACAGATTTAGCTTCACGGAGGTGCTCTTTCTCAGCTATCGCCATAGGTGCTAATATCGCCTCGGATTTAGTGCGAGCACATCTGAATTTTTGCTCGAAACAAACTTGCATTAAGCTTGTCGCACAATCATTCGAGCGAAAGCTATGATTTTCCTGAACAGTATGATAAACCCACGCACCCTCCGCAGGTTTCTAAGTTTTTATATATTTATGAAAACGGGACGTTTTAGAGTTTGTTCGGGACAACGGGACCAGTAACATAAAAACGGGACAATCCCGTTCAAAACGGGACGTATGGTCACATTATGTATAATATATGTTATGTTGCATAATGAAAATCTTTGGAAAAAAATTGGGAAGTTTCCTGCACATACTGGAATGATATGAAACAATTTTTGTACAAAGTTGAAGATGAATATTTCTTTTTTAAAATGGTATATCAAACGTAATGAGTTACTCCCTCTGTTCCAAATTATGGTATACATTTCTCTTTATAATTTGTCTCAAATTATGATATACAAAACTTTGGAAAACTGCTTTATTGTGTTTGTAAAATTAGTAATTCAATTTGTAACTTAATTTAAACATACATTAATGAAAATTTTACACATTTAAACACAATTCAGCTGGTTCAATGTAAACGCCCTTCATGGCGAAGCTTTTCTTTATTCATGAATTTTCATATTTCTCTCGATATCTATGCGTCTGAGAGCAATTTTGTTAAGAATACAATTTGCTACAACTTTCGTTCGAAAAGTTTTTCTGTAGCATGCTGAGATTCAAATTTATTCTATTTTATAGTTGTTGCCTACTGCGGCCATCATGTAGTGTCGAGAATACGTTATCTAACTTTTCTTTAGTTAATGCGTCGAAGGCACTTTTAACACAATCTATTAATTCATTCATAGTTTTTGGCGATGTTTGCTGGCGATTTTGATATTTTGAGAATTCCTGGCTTGAACCTAAGAAATGGTGATATCTATGGTGGCATTGACTATGGATTATGTTATCTTGATTCATTATCATTAATTTTTATGGGAAACGTTTTTCTCTATCATCTTTAATTTTCTACTTATAACAGAATTTAACGCAGATGATTGTCAATTTTGATTTTTTGAGAATTCCTGGCTTGAGCCTAAGAAATTGTGATATCTATGGTGGCATTGACTATGGATTGTATTATCTTAATCTATTGTCATTTTATTACACATATTATAAATTCCTGCATTCTGGAAAGTGTATTTCCTGATTGCTGGAAGGAAACCTTAATTAAACCTATACCTAAATGTAGTGACCCAAAAGCTTTGAAGGACCGGAGACCTATTAGTATTCTGCCAATGTTATCAAAGGTTCTTGAAAAAGTACTGAAAGTTCAATTAACGGAATTTATTACGGATACTGTCTCTCTATCATCTACTCAGTCGGGGTTTCGTCGATGGTATGATTGTTGCTCTGCAATGCTGAAGGTGACAGATGACATTATCTCTGCGACTGATAAAGGTGAAGTTACCGTTCTTACTTTGTTAGACTATAGTAAGGCGTTCGATACTGTGAATCATGCGGTTCTTTTTAGGATTCTTCACTCTGTTGGGCTTGATCCTTCGGCGGTTGCTCTGCTTGGCAGTTATCTTGGACGGAGATCACAGTGTGTTCGGATTGAGGGCATAACATCTTCTTCTCGACCAATTGATTTTGGGGTTCCTCAGGGCTCAATTCTTGGTCCCACGTTGTTTTCGTTATATACTTCAAAAATCTTTCATAATGTGAAACACAATCAAGTTCACAGTTATGCCGATCATACCCAGCTTTATGTTTCTTTTGGTCCATCCCAATGGCGCAATGCTATTAATAATTTAAATTCTGACTTGGAATATATAACGAATATTTCCAATTTGCATTGTCTGAAAATTAATCCTAATAAATCTACCGTTTTGCTCTTTGGTAACAAAAGCGTTTGCGACCAATTAAAGGATTTGGTTAAAGTTTACATTCAGGGATCTGAGGTGCAGATTGTGAGTGAGGCAAGGAGTCTTGGTTTGGTTGTAGATAACAGTTTTAGATACCATAGTCAAGTACATCAAGAAAGCGTATCACTCTTTAAGGCTTACTATATCCCCATAGAAGCTATTTGCCTATCATGTTGAAAAAAACTTTATGTGACTCCTTGGTTCTTTCTCAGTATAACTATATGATTCCCTTATATCATCCGGCTGTGTGCTCATATGACTCGGGGAGGATGCAGAGAGTTCAGAATAGCTGTCGTCGTTTTATTTGTGGAATCCGCAAGTTCGATCACATTTCCTACTGGCTCATTGAATCAGGCTGGTTGTCGATGCGCTCAAGAAGAGAACTTTATACTCTAACTTATTATCATAAATTGATTACTACTAAAATCCCTATATATTTGTACAATAAGATTTCTTTCAGGTGCGATATTCACAATCGTGAAACTAGATTTAGGTGCTGCATAGACCCGCCTCGACACAGAACGTCACTTTTCCAAAGATCTTTTTCTTTTCATATATATAAGTCATACGGCAGCATTGGTGACGAGTTGAGGAATCTCGGTGTTAATTGTTTTAAAAAACATTTGAGGGCACGGTTACTTGGAGAGCAGGTGACTACTATTTCTGGCAGAGACCGGTGAGTCACAGTTTTGCTGCGAATATTTCTTTACTTTATTTAAGATATTTTTTTCTTTCTTTTTTTTATTTTTTGTAGAGTTAAGGATTATGATGTATTTCATATCT